AGATGTTGAGTATAGATACCACTTTTTAGGGATTTGCCGGTGAGTTTTCTTGATTTGTTAGCTTGAATTTTGTTGTAAGGATGTTATCTTGCTCGGATGATGTAGGTCATATGACGGACGAAAGCTTAGCCCCTTTTCACCGGAATCGAAGGAGATTGCCTCGGAAACAGCGTCAGCATGAATCTTCCAGTAAAGCCAACCGACAGCTGGTCGAGAGGAATCCGCCGTCGTCTTCTGGTGGAACCGAGCTTCGAATCTCTTCCTCCAACACTTTCACTCGAAATGGAAGTAAGCTCAACAAAACAAACGGGTTCGGGCTAGTGGTTTCGTAAACTGACTTTCACGTGTACACACTAACATCACATCAAGTTAACCATAGTTAATTACGGACTAACGCAATCTCGGTCATCCTTTTTTCTTTTTTTTTCTTTGGGTTATTAAGCTGAAGTTTAGCTTTTTTCTAATTACTCTAAATTATGACCTATTTTGCGTTCAGACGTTAATTGGCATACTGGTACAGATACATCAGAGTATTCATGAATAACCAAGCCTTTCTATATCCATCTTTATCTTGAATTTTGCTCACAATGAGTATATATAGTATATAGAAAAAGGCCGGTTAGTCTTTTCGACTTGGTGTTAACTTGAGGCTTTTGCAAGAATGACTCCCAGCTCTGATGATCTTCATCACGTGGCATGAAGAACGAGAGCTCAGCCCATCTCCGACCGAAACGTTAGAGGATTTCTCATGGACTGCATCAACCTAAACGTCGTAAATATGCCAAACGGCTGCAGTAAAACTCGAATCAGCCGAAGTTTTCGGGTTAGATTGACCTACGAATCTCCCATCACATCAATCTTACCTTCGAAGCTTTTTTGAAACCCGTAGTTTCATCTTATATACACCCTGGACGACTTAAAAAGCCAACAAATTCCGCAGGATCTGTGCATTTTTTACTTTGTACCTTGCCCTTTATTATGTCATTTTAAGGCCTGCTTAGTATGGTTCGGCATCGTTTTAATAGCAACTGTCGAATTTATGTCAGCAAAGTTCAAAATATGTCCCCCTCCTAGGCCTTGTACGATTTCTACCAGTTCCACCAGAATGTATTCGAGGTCCGAACCTTGAATGTGGATGTTAATATTGAAAGAAAAGGCTCTATTCTATATTTTTTACAGAGTTAAACGTATTTGCAAACACATAAACAAAAGCAGTGGTAAAAAGCTGATTCCAAAGCCACATAAACATAAACTTCTTGCTTATGCAATTCAGCCAAATCCACAAGAGCCGCAGAATCAGTTCAATTTTTCTGCACAACTCACCTTTCTGGAATCTCGAATAGACTAGTTTTCAACCCTGGCAACACATGTTTCCCGCTAACGTGTAGAGATTCTCGTCTAGCGCGCTTGCCCAAGCAAGCCACGGGCAGCTTGACAGACAGACACTAAGTGACAGAGGGCTTGATAAAGCCATTTCCCGAATATTTTCGCCTGTTTTTTACCGTAGCACACAGTTTATGGAGCAAATCTTGTACCCTCATTCAGGACAAGTTAAAACTAAAAATCGCTATGGTAACACGGTGAGTTTCTTTCTACAAAGTGAGGATTTGTTAGTTCCTAACTTGCCTTGGTTCGCATGTATTATTAGTCAAAAATGCGAAATATCTTTCCAAGATACCATTTCCATTGGGAAGGGCCTGCTTTCGTATGCTAGCATACTTTTTATGTGAAGTCATAGGAATACATGAAGATTTTGAGCATACAATTTTTATCTGCTTAGTTCTGATTTAGCTTCTAGTAAATTAAATTTTACTAAAAAGTGAAACATACTACTCAGCTTACTACTACCACCACTTATTAATGCCAAATGCTTATGGAGCCTCGATTTTGCCAGGCTTCTACCAGCTAAGTATATGGTAACAGATTTTTCATGACCAGGGTGTGATTGAAATAGATTTATTTTTTCCATATACTTTGTAACGCGGTCGTTTTAAGTCTTCTAAGCATAGACTTATTGCGTCTGAGTAGCTTGGACGCAAAAATTAAACCATGCCATATTTCCACCAGTCAGTTGGGCAATTAAAAAAACTCCATAATTAAACTAGGCGCCTGTGCCAATGCTTCTGGTAAAGAGTTTGTATGTAAGTACCGCTTGACTAACTACTTCACTGTTCTGATTCGTTAGAAGGACATTTGTCTTTAAAGCTTTCTTTCTGACTTTGGTATGACCTTACACTGTATCTAGACTTATATCTAGATTATGTTCAGACCGCAAGATTCTTTACTCAGTACGCTTTTAATGTTATTAATTTCATGTACACACGGAATTTTTGAAACAGTTGGAATCAAGTGCACACAACGAAACTCCTTGTAACGAGCTGGCTATGAGAGCATAAATCACTTTCTTCATAGCGCAAGGGAAGGGATCGGCCCTTTACTGCGGCAGTGCTATTTTTGAGGATTAGCCCATCGAAGTGTATGATAAACTGAAAGCTATCCCGTATTTGAGGGCTTTTAGCCTAAAAGTCTGCGCTTGCCCGCCTCTAGGCATACTGAATCAGTCCTTTTCTGAATCGCCCCCAAGTCAGTTTAAGCCCTTGCGTCAACTTGGCTCTATGACATGAAAAATGGAAGATAGTTTAAGGTAGCCTGCGTGCATAAACGTCCTTGCCGAAATGGTCTATCTTGGCCACTTAAGACGAGCCTCTAGGGTTAAGTGGATGTTTGACCCTTTTGTAGACAGTTAAAGGAATAATTTAGTGGTGAAAAAACCTCTTCATGCACATAATCTGTTCATGAAATCTACCAAAAGATGTCTGGTGGTCTGATAAGATCTGAGACATCAGAAACAGTAAGTTTTATTATACATATATAAAGTATAGGTCTAACTCATTAGAAAGTAGTAATAGTAGTATATAATGACAATCTTAGATTTGAACTAAGGCGCGCCGTTGCTGGTTTGACATCTCGTGCTCTTTATTCTTACAAATTTTGCTTCATCTCCAAAAATGGGATTAATGTCTAAACTTTGGGCGTACACAGTACCAAAGCAGGGGTCAACTTGTGCATTATTTTGTGTGCATGCACTTACGAGTAAATGTGCGTGTGTCTGCATTAACATGCACGAAATGTAGCCTTGCTTCTGTTCAACATGTACAATTCGCAACAATTGAGATGGTTTATCACGTTATTTGATAATGGCTAAATTTGAGTCCACGTGTCCTAAAATATAATTTAATAATTTATTATTTTTTAATAATTGTATCTTATTGTATGTAAAGTGTTCATACCAGTTAATAATGTACACCTCTTTGCCAGGTCGCGGTTCATCCAACTCACTCGCTTCGATGGGAGAATCCACATCTCTGCAGGTGCATGTTAGACAGGATTCTTCTACCTCAGCATCATCTGCCCATTCGGCAGGACAAACAAATCAAGCAAGTCAGGATTCCCATTCTTCTGTTGCCACGGCGACGGATGAAGGCGCCTCGGCAACTGTCTGTACCAGAGCCCCAACTGGTGCCGGAGTAGGCGTCACGGGAGGCAAAAGTGGCGGAGAGGGTAACGGAAGCAGTGGCGGCCAAATGCCGTCCGGAGCTCTGGCCGGCATACTCGTCACGTCGCGAGCAAATACAGCGCCTATGGACATTTCAACGATTGTCGCAAAATCTGACGTCGCCAGCGTCGGCCAAAAGCCGACTTCGGGGAGTCTAGTTTCGGCGGACGGACAGCAGCCAGAGTCATCGGCCTCCTTCAAGGGACCCTTTGCCACCACCGACCTTTTGCCGTCTGCCTCAGCTGCCCTGAATGAAAAAGTCGATCCCTACATCTCGATGCTCGTAAGAGGGTAGCAATATAATTGCAAATCGATAGGGAAATTTCCCGAAAAATTCTAAGACAAGACTGGCAGAAGAGAGAAAATAAAGGGATGCATTTGACAGTATGCGCCTGATAGGCGTAAAGGACTGGTGACAGTAAGAAATCTAGGTTTTGGTACATACTTTTGATGGGTAGGTTTAACTTTAAGAGGCGCTTGGATACTGTCTCCTAAAACATTCTGGAAGTCGCGTGTGTAGCCTCTTATTTCCAACTGCCACCGAGTAATGGCCTTCACCTATTCTGTAACATAGTTTCGGATAATTCACCTTAATTCAAACATTTGCATTTACTTTATGGATTTTCCCATTCTTAGGATAAAAAGAGCAGAGTGAAAATGCAATAGATCATAACTTCTATATTGCTTTAAATTTTCCCTGGGTGCATCACATCTTAACTTAACCTTTTTAATAAAGTACAAAATAGTTAAACAAATGGTGAATACAAGGGAATGCTGATGGTCAAGTGACGTCAAAAGATAAATGAATATTGTCTTGACAGGATGCATATTGTTGGCTACTTGTTGCAGTTAAGGTCCGATATTAGAGCCATCCACGAGTAAGTAGAACTAAAGCTTAATGTTGTTTATAAATTTTACCGCTTTTTCCTTCGCTCAGGTGTATTCACGTCCAGCAGGCCCGTATGCAGAAGTCAAACTCATTTGTAATTACTGACAAGCAAACTCGTTTAGAGGCTGAAAAAACCATATAAGCTGTAATAAATCTAATGAAAAGTCTGAAACAGAGGTGTACTGAAAACATAATTTGTTATAAATTTAATATAATACTACTATTCGTCGATGAGTAGTATGCGGACGCATAAGTGGAGCTAGCCTTCTAAAATAGCGATCGTGCTCATCGTGAAAGGCAATGAAGATTTTCTCCAAACTGAGGCAGAATTTCAAATGCTTGAAACTTTTACACATGGAAGTAATATCAAAAGTTGCATTTCGTAATTGTTGCTTAATAATCCGGATTGGCTTACAGGACTCAATGCCGATCTTCAAACCTATTGTAGAAGAGTTATTTGCTCTCATCTATGCATGACAACATGGCCGTCTTTGTGCACGAATGACTGAGAGAATCCTCAGAGCCTAGTTCTTGGTGGAGGAGATGTCATCTGCTTTTGTATTAGGAAGATTTTGCATTTAAAGAAGAAGATATTAACATGCAGAATGTAGCATCATGGTTGTCAAGCGCATGCACTTTTCTGCTTGCATTGATACTGTACCGAATCATCGTGTTAATTTGACTAATTGTTTACTATAAATTTCGACGGACTCGAACAGTGAACAAAGCAGGAGAAGACAATGCACCCTTTCGAGAAGGCAATCTCATGTACTTTTCATAGACCATGCTTGTTGATATCATTCGACCGTCCATAAGTCTTGCATGGGTTGTTAAAAATGAAAAATGTGTGGGCCATGTCTTGTATGCGTTATGCGCGTAAGACTCGTCATCTCGCACATTATGAGCAGTAGCAAATTTAATTGCTGGTCGCCAGAAGTGCTGTTAGAGTGTGGATGTGAACGGTCGTTATGGTGACTTGAAGAGAATTTTGCCAATATTTCCCACTGAGAAATGTCCCCATATCCGCGTCTAGCTGGGATCTTCATCTGTCCCGAGTCCCGCTAAAAGTCCCTGGCAGGACTCGGCATTAAGCGACATTCGGCTTCCGAGGCACAATGAACCCCCCTTCACCATGTCTGGAATGGGGCCGGTTCAGCTCTCCCTTCCAGAATTGCTTAGTGACCTACGGTGGGTAGTCATTCTAAAGCGAGAAGCACCCAGTTTTCCGAGAACAATCTGCTATTTACTCCATCGTTTGTAGAATAGCTCGCTTTTTGTGTGAGGTTGGAACACGTACAATTTTGCATTTGGCCAGCCATTATCTAACTTTAGGTACAACATTTTGCCTTAGGGTCTACCCAAGTATAAACATTTTTTCTACGCAAATGCATTCGTTTCCACAAGCTCTGATCGGTTGTTCTTCTGTCAGTCAATTGGAAAATTTCCAGCAACAGATAACTACGGCCAGCAAAAGGTAAACTCGATACCAGAAAACCATAGGCTATTGCATGCACAATCGGCGGTTGCCTCATTAGGTCGATCAATGACTACCATGGAAACAATCTTACCTGCTCTCGCACCTTCAAGACTGAACGCCAGCCCTTAAACTTAACATTCACCTTTTCTTATGCTGTCCTTTCTCTCTATCTCTCTCTCTCAATATATATAAATATATGTATATATATATATTTATATATATGTCTCTTTCTCTCTCTCGTTCTTCTTCTTATTTTATCCATAGTCTGGCTGGACTTGTGTAGCCTCCGGTCCTCCTGGGTCGATTATGATGGATAAACAACTGTTGTTCATGCCTGCCTGACTCGAAAGAATTGTACGTTTGTCTATCCAACTTTTTAATTGGGCGGAAAAGACAAGCGTTTAAGTTAAATAAATTGTGCAATAAATGTGAAAATGGAAGCCATAGTAGGCGAATATTAATTAGGCAGGAGGTATAGAATTTTCGGCATTAATGATATTTGCTAATAAGGAGAATGTTAATTTTTTTAAAATCAGGATTTTTTTATACGTCAGTTTAAAAGTTAAGATACATGAATAAATCGGTAATATGCTTATGAAAAACAATATAGGCGACTTACTTTCCATAATTGCAATGCAATTTATATTTAATTGAAAAGCGATATCAATTTTTATACATTTTTTTGAATATACAACTGGTGAAAAGTCCTTCACGTTAGACTAAGCAGTCTTGAGAGAGGCAAAACCAAAGTATTTGCTGGGTATTTTGGGTATAAGTCGAATGTTTTTGCAAATTTTTCACACATTTGTGATTCGGGCTGC